ACCACAATGATGATGTTCCCCCATCGTGGGAAGACTTCTGAGGCAAGAATAACAAATGGCGTCCCAAACAAAATGCTGGCACCCAGCCCACCCGCAATGGCAAGAAAGCCAATCAACTTCCTCGCGTCTACCAGACGCTTCTGCCTCCCGTGGATGTCGATCATTTGATTGCTTGCCATCAGAGCCTGTGGATCAAATTAGCCTAGATCAAGCATGCCGTGCCCACGTCTAGTCCGTTGTCAAACATACCAACCATTTGCAAATCTTGGAATCCTTGGCCATGACAATAGACCGAGCCCAGTCATCAAATCCCTCCAGCTCCGTCAGGCCCCTCCACTGGCTTGTGTCCCGCGGGTACGTCTGATCGTTGGTTCTGCCCAGTGTCAAATACTGGAGGAAGACCCTAAGATCACGCGGCTTCCGCCGTCCCAGGCCTGCCAAGAACTTGCGTTTGTGGGCCATTTCTACTGCATATTTTGTGAGCAAAAGGCCAAACAATTACGATATCTGGTACTTACGGCACGAAGATGCCTTTTCCTTGAATTCATGGACCAGTCCCGGCACGCTGGCATCATCCCCAGCAAGAATGGCACAGTGTATCCTCTCCCAGCATTCCTCTACGTCTCTCTCCAGATAGCCCTGGAGAAATGAATATGGGAGCGTAAAGGCCCTAACGGCCAAGTAGGCGCTATCCCGCTCTTGTAGGGCGCTTGCAGCGAGCAGTCCCGCATACTCTTGCGTCACATTAGCTGTCAGCGTACTGTATCATGTCGATTAACTCACTGGATTTAGTCTCCGCGAACTCAACACAGCCAACTAAGGTAAACGATTAGCACGCATTTCTTCCGGGGGTACATGGGCCTGCCTCATACTGTCGTTTGGGCCCTGCGCCTGGACTCCAGCTTGTCCCTCCTCCACAGAAGCCAGGGAGAGTGGAGGCGACTTGAACTCGTCGTCATCGGTCATCATTTCACGGTGGTTCATTTCAGTTCGCATGTTTCCGAGAATCCAGGTACTATAAGCGTGATCTATTGTGACTGTAGAGTATTGCTGGATATTGTTGACCTGCCACCGTATGTTGGCTCGTGGTCTGGGGCTGGCGTCTGTATAAATACTTGCTCCCGTCCTCACGGACTGGCTGACCAATGTGTCGGTGATCTGAAGAAGTGATTGTTCTGCAGATTGCTGCAGGTGACCGCCATTCTGCCATGCGAAAATGCACGTCGCCTTTAAGAGCCGCATTTCGGTAGTATTTTGGGCCGCGTGGGAGACATGACCGACGCCACATTGCAGCCTGAAGGTACCAAAACTGCATATTCAGGTAGAATCTCTGGTATCCTGTACACTCTATGTCGTACCTCGATCAATACCACGGCCATAATTGCTTCTTACTTATCACAAAACGTGTGCTGATTGGCCCGATGCTTCGTGACCAATCTAGGGGATTCTCTCAGACGGTGTAGCCCGTGGATGGATGGATGCAAAACAGAGTGCACATTACCACTCATGGCCCAGAACATCGTGGAGACCACTCCAATATGCCATATCCAGTAAATAACACAATATTAGTCTAGTATACATTTAACCAGAAAGAAATTTCAACAAAACCCCTCCGTCGATTAACCGTTATCCTATTCATCCTCCACTCCAAACCTGACTGTTCACTGGAGACTTAACCTTTCCTCATCCTTCTAAGCTGTTGTACAGCCAAATTGGCTCATGAGAAATACTTTCACATGATGGTTCATCATATAGACTTACGGATGTCGTACAACAATCGACGATATCCAGAGAATATGCCAGAGATAGAAACATGGTGTTGCAACCCTCAGAGTGATACCACAAGAACGGTTGGGCCGCGCTCTCCTTGAGGGGTCTGGCTCGGGACAATGCCATCAGGACGATCCACAATATCTGATTCCGGGCCCTTTAGTTGAGACAGTTCCATGCAGGCGAAGGCGGACGACATCTTGAACGAAGTAAGTAGGAAAAGAAACGGGCCAAGTGTGACTTGATCTTTAGGTCTTCCGGGCAAGTGCCTATAGGGTCTGTAGCGCCGAGTAGTCGTGGTATATGAGGGGGAAAGTAGCCAGCAGAAGGTCGTTTGATAGGGAGGACCTATATGAGCCGAACTTGATTGGAAGTGTCTTTTGCGAATGAGTAGAAAATGGGTTCAACAGATGACTGAGTTGGGCCCTTATATAGAGTTCTTGAGAAATCTCCTAACCTCCTTCAGTTGGATCTAAACAACAAAACGCCCAGTTTGTTGAGTCTACGGAAATGGGGTTATGACGGTTCTTTGAATCAGCAGGGATGGCACTCTCCCCGCCATTCCACAGAATACCGCTAACTGTTCGCTCACCGCACGAAATGCTGACTTCACTTAAGGGACCCTGCTTGGTATGAGACAAGAAGCGAGATGAGATTCGTATTGATAGCTGCCAGCACCATGGATGCATGTGGATTGGCGCCAATTCGAAGACATCCAGGCACACGGGCGCCCGTACCTGCGTATGTGGACCACGATTTGACTAGCTGCTGCCTGCAGCTATGCATAAATACATGCAGCTGATCTGGCTAGAGTTCGGAATATCTCCGTTTCGCCTGTCTGCGCTACGTGATCTGGAGCGTCCAGGTATCAACGGCAAAACGACTCGGCAACATACCCGTCGGCGTCTAGACGGACGGACTCTCCGAGAGATCAGGCAGAGACACTAGGCCGGGTTCATCCTCAAGCCATAGCGGCGATGTTAGTGATACATATCTACTTCGCCGGATCTGGCAGCAGGCCTAGGGAATGATAGTACGTAACCCCTTGCCCCTGCAGAGGGAAGAGAGAAGAGCAACAGACACTGACTTACACTACATGCCGGGCATGTGCTATCCCCTAGTGGCGTTATTACCCAAATATCGTTTCGTTTACTGGAAGAAATGACAAACTAGCTTCTTCATGAAGAATCGTTGTACAAAAATGCGCCGCTTTCTGCCATTGTTCCGGGGTGCTTATATTCTGTCCCGGAGACCCGAGACAAAGTTGAATCACATGCCCAACTTTATCCCATGCACCTCATTCAATGGCTCGTAATAAATTCAGGCACGGCCTCTTGGTGTTAATCTACCGCGCTGCCACTTCATCAACAGAATGCTCTAGCTGCAGTTGGTGCCCACGCTACTTTAGGCCTGCTTTGATGTGGATCGAGGCGGCATATACATAGATCTCATCCGCCTAGGCTCCTCGGGTCATTCTTTCTCATAGATTTAATACGAATGACAAATCATGAGGGGGGTGGTCCCCGTGGTATTACTATGTAAAAAGTCGGTGTGGGCGAGACAAGTGCTCTCCCTTCACCCCATAGTGTCCGTATAGAAGGCGGATCTCAATCGTGAGAGTGCACGGCCTATTGTCCTCAAACCGGATGAAAAGGGAGAGGGAAACAAGGAACGAAAACAGGGCACAGCCGAGGCTCATTGTGTGACGCTTAGCCGGACAAAGGGGAGAGCCACGCAATATGGAATTAATTCCCGTTCCTGATGCAATCCGCCAACTCTAGAGTGAGTGTCATGTTGTAACGAAGCGATTAATGAATCCACTTGAGTCCACACTATAGCAGCCACGTCTTGGTCTATGTGGGCATATGGCAGAGCATAGTATGCATTCTCTATACCCAGCAGAGCCCTCTATAAAAACCTCAAATCAATGTTGCAGATGTCTCACGTAGATCTCCCTTCAGAGCCTCAAGAACACACGCAAATAATGCAGAGTGCTATCCGTCAGTAAATACAATAGTGATTCGTAATCAATGTTTCGTGTTTTCCTGGTGTTTGTACATGCTCGGTAGAATCGTTTTGAGGTCCACCTAAAGTTCGAGCCTGAATATGACGAGGAAAGCCCCTGGTTCCTGGAGCCTGAAAGCATCAGCTCTTAGGAACATTTTATCGACCGGCGAGTATACCATAGATAAGTAAAGCTCCAATTTATATCTCAATGATGTATAGAGAAATGTATTGGCAACGTTGTTGTCAAGTTTGTTGGTGCTTAATTCTGTGATAGATTCAGAACAGTTGGATGCTGTCAGATTCTGAAACGGCATAATATAACATGAAAAACTATCAATTTGTTTGAGACAATATATAGCATTTTTCACGCGACCATTCATGGACCAGTTTCTAACTTTTGGGCGCAGTTATCGCGCATCCCCAGACCAATACTTTCAAGAGATGGGTGCAGTGACGTTGAAATTTACTGGCATTGAGATGTGGGGGAACGGTAGATCGATCGGCGGGTTCCGGGTACGTTTAAAAATATGCAAGTGTCTACAGCCTTACAGGTTCCACGATTGGGGTTAGGTTTCCCACATACAAGGTGTGCCCCTAACGGAGCGATGGCGCATTGTGGGCGGTTTTGGGTCCTGCCAGGGGGATCAGGCTTACTTACTGTTTTAGTTGCACCTTGAGACCTGCTAGAAGGATCGGTCTGTCGGCCAGACTTAATCACTGTTTTGATCACTGCCAAAGGATAACCAAGGCGGCAGGCAAGGCCACGAGAACACTGAAAGAGAACTGCCGTAAACTTATTATTACGCACTGTAACTACACTGATTACCGATCCATGTCCACTCATTCTATAAAAAGAGATGGTGTTTGGATCTGAGCCCATGTGTGGGCTGCTAGGAAACCTATACTACCGGTAGCAGCTGGAGGCATAGCTGCCCAAATCGTTTTGACCTGTCACACGTTCGAACCAAAGCGATGTCCTGAAAACTCCACGCTCCTCCTACTCTGCACCTTTTTTCCTCTGTTTTGTGTTCGATCCCAGAACAAACTGACGCGTATCTTGTTTTCTTGTCATTCTGATGGATCAGGGTGAGAACAGCATATCTCCAACACACAAACTCCCCAAGGCGCCACTTCATCGTAATATTTTCAAGTAGCATCCAAGGATTGTGTGAAATCAGACTTGAATACTCCTGATATCCATATTTCACTCGATGCGATGGAGTCTACCTGTCTTGCGAGACATGTGGTTCGGTCGTCGCGGTTCTCGTATCAGGAACTCTCGATTTCAGCTCGCTCGTAATTTCGACGCACAAGGGAAATAAGTCGAACATAACTTCGCGGCTTGTTTTTCGATTCTTTTTCTCTGAAGATAAGGAACAATGAGGAAATTAGCAAAACAAGCGCAACCGGTAGTCTCAGTCAGGCATCGCCTAGATAATGTTAGATGGTCCAGCCCCTTTAAGAAAATTGGCAAAATCAAATCAACTCTAGGGACCGTAATAAACATTGGACAGCTATTCGTTACGGACAGAGCCCTAGGCACCAAAGCTTCGGGCCTTGCCGCGAGGAAAGGGGGTGGCAAAAATTTAGGGGCTAGGTGTTGGGAAGGCTTCTCCAGGTTCCATGGCATGGAAACCAACAGCAGTCAGAAATCCGCAGAGGGATTTAAATGGTGGTCAAGACATCCTTTGAAGAGGAAGTACGAGTGTGTGAGCCACGAAACGAAGGGGAAATGGCTCTTAATATTATCAATTGCTCCTCGTGTGAGCATGGCCCCCACCTTCTCTCCACCAAGGATGCTCCCTCAGCTGCAATCAATGAATTTATCCAGCACAATCCTTTCCTCCTTGCTGGTGTTGTGGGATGAGTAACACCGGACTTTCTTTTTCCACCCCGTGGAACAGCAAACTAGTCAATCCTATGGGTTTGCCGGAGATTATTTTCATCACTAGCCTGGGGCTGTGCACAGGAAGCTCACGACTTGAAGAGGAACAATGGCCAATGAATGTTTGAGGTGCATTGCAAACACACCATTCCGCGATTCAGGAATTATGCCTTCGGACGCCCAATTAAGCCCTAGATTAACATGGAAGTCGAAACGCTGGAACGCCAATCTTGCTCAAGATACTTGTTACATCATGCTCATCAGGGGTAGAAATTGGCTGGCTGTAGACTTGCAGGGGTTTTGATGAACAGCAGGGAAATTGAGGCCTCTTGAAGCCAAGCCGAGGCTGGAAGCACCAAACCTACGGAATACAAGCCATGTGCTTGTGACAATGTAAACCTGATCGTGAATTTTGCTTCGAGAGTGGTACATATGTGTAGCATATCTCTGATTACGAGGGACCAGTCTCGCCTCGGACAGATGGGTTCGCCGATTTTCGTGTTCTAGGGGGCTTACCCCTTAAAACTTGGAAGCGAGCGTGGAATTTCCAACAGTTGATGGCGGGATTGGTTAACACATTTGTGGCATAAATTGATCTTGCCCCTCTTTCGCCACCCAAGTGTGTGCCCCTCCTCAGCTGTTATGCGAAAACCATTGGGGGGGCACCGACATGGCGGTTTGCATGCAGAACAGATGATTCGCCAGGCCTATGATCATCTTGGAAGAGACACTGAAAGGGACTAGTCGTATCTACGAAACATACAAGGTGTCGACTTAATGCGAGATGTGTTGCGTAGATTTCAGACAAGGAATACAGCACATCATGGAATCTGCCCACCCTATGTAGGTGTTCAGGATATTTCTGAAAATAATTGGTTGTAAAAATACAATGACGATGCAACTCAAGCCAACGGAGGGATTACGAGCTCATAACCCTCACTAGGCCTTCTATGCGTGGACAAGTCAATGACATGATCTCACAACCAACACTAGGACTTGTCGATCATCCTGGATCAAAAGCCCCTGCTTATTACAGAACAGGGGTTCTCGGCCATCGTTTCCCGGGCCGTGTTCTGCGGGACGACGATGGTAAAATACACTCCTGTTCCTGAGCAAGGGGTAGATGAAAGGCGAGTTGCCAACTCGGACAACCACTTAGAAAGTACCCCCAATGCCACCCACTATGATCAAGACCAGCAAAATCCGCCTCTATCCTCAACAGATGATATCAAAGATACAGCAATGCCAGAGATAAGTGTTCAGTTGAAACTTTCAAAGCTGGAGTATTCTAAGGCAGGAATTCCTGTTCAATTTCAAACTAGGCATCTGAAGGGTGTAATTTTGATTTCTCACATAGTGACACCCAATTTCAAGCAACTCAAATAAGTTATTTTGATCTAGAGAATCTTCTACGAAGCTTGGTGTTGCGTACAAAAAAAGGAGGGTTGGCTCCCTCACCTAAGCCGCACTCGCTGGCCGTAAACTCAAGGCAGAAGCTACATGTAGCCGAGCTATATTGTTTGGCATCCGTGCCCAAAGTCGTGGGGTAGACTCATTCGCGTCCAATCAATTTCGATGACTCCACTATCAGGTAGGTTTGGTCTTCTCCAAGGATGCTATATCTTCCCCCGATAGACCCAGAGAGAGCACATAGGCTAAATTGGTTCCATAGTGAACAAAAATGCCCACTGGCCAGAGCTGTTGCGTTGAATTTAGCCTTAGTGTGTGCCCAAATCACGGTTATTAGGCCTATCTGCTCAAGGCGATTTCCCTCGTCTACCACTTACCCAATATCTTAATCCCATTTGACAGAAGTGACCTCTTTCTCATACATTTCCTCATTACTAATCGGTCGTGCGCATTGTAAAGATTCGAGGTTTGTGGAAGAGAATATTAGCATATCACTAGCTGGGGGAGAAGCTGGGGTTGTCTTGTGACGATGTTTGGTATTGGCTCAAATCGTCCATTCACAAATGGCGTGAGCTTCGCCGAGCTAACTGGGTCTTTTGCATGATAGTTCAGCTAGTTTAATGTGATCTGAACCAATAATTCCTCGTGGTCCTACTCTGTGTTCACGGTAGAGTGGGCTCGGCACTCTGCACAATGCCGAGGCCGAGACCGAGAGGCATTACACATCGACATGCCTTGTTATATCTGAAGAGGGTAGTAATCGGATTCACACGAGACGTGATCTTCCACGTCATTTTCGCTGTTCTCTAAACCCCGCATTTAGAGGCGGAGACGTGTCTATTATTTGGAATTGATGTCAATTACTGAATTTGTCTTGCGCGCGGCAGGGTTAGAATATCATGATCCAGGCTTTAACATCCGTGATAGGTAGTTGTTAATACGATGCTTGGCGTAGGAGAAGTTTGTATAAAATGTCAGATTGATCTCTACTATCAATGATGCTATATAGCGATGTTGTAATTCCTCCCAATCTCCCTTTTACATCCTTAGAACCACCTACGAGCACTCATGTCTATAATCACTGTTCTGGGCGCTACTGGAACTCAGGGCGGCTCTGTAGTCGCCGCCTTACATGAAAACCCAAGCTGGAAAGTTCGCGCCGTTACAAGGAATCCAGAGAGCGATGCTGCCAAGAAGCTCACTGCAATGGTGAGAATTAGATACACTTCGGGGGACAACCAAGTTCCAAATATTAATGATATATTTGATACAGGGTGTTGAGGTGGTCGCAGGAGATGCCGACGATGAAGCTTCTCTCATCAGAGCATTTGAGGTGAGTTAGGTACGAAGGAAACTCATGACAAGCCAACTAAAGACGATTATCTAGGGAACAGCGGCTATTTTTGCTCTTACAAATTTTGATTGGTACTTCAAACAATAAACTCCTTATGGTACATTGTTGTTGACCGTTGCGAGTAGGAATATTGTGATGCAAAACGGTCAGTGTGTCGCTGGGCAAATTGAGAAACAGCAGCAGATCAGCATTGCCAATGCAGCGTCAAAGATACCAACTCTCGAGCATTATATAATGAGCTCATTGCCTCCCGCTAAGATTTCGTCTCACGGTAGACTACCGGTTCCACACTTTGACTTTAAGCACGAGGCCTACCAGTACATTCAAGGGAACCTTCCGAGCTTGGCCGCCAAGATGACTCGGGTTTGGGTTGGATGGTATCCGTCCAACATGGCCTTTAGCCCGTTGATGAGGCTGGTCCCTGTGGTACGTCCAAGAATAACATCATGTTCATAGAATACCTTCAAATTATATTATACAAGTCAAGCTAATTCATCTTATATCTTTATATAAGGCTCAATCGGGGGCGTACATATGGATCCAGCCCAGCAAAGAGGATGCCATTCTTCCAATTGCTGGCGACGTTCAACATAACGTGGGTGTCGTGGTAGAGGGCATCTTGGAGGCTGGTGCAAAAGCTTTCAACAAAGTTGCCATCGTCATCACCGACTACATCAAGATGTCCGAAGCAGTTCGAGTCTGGGAGAGTGTTTCGGGGTCAAGAGCCGTCTACGTCGGTGTCCCTGACAGCACAATAGAGACGATTTGGGGGGTCGGTGGCTTGGAAATAGCCGCACAGTTGAGATGGAGCGAAGAGTTTCCCGATTGGCACCGGGTAGAACCCGGGCATGTCATTTATCTAGAGGAGCTGGGAGTGGCTAGCAGACTTCGCGATTTCAGGCAGGCTTTAGAGAGCGTGAAGGCCTCTCTTACTTAGTTGCTGATCTCTCGTGAGGAAAACCATGACTATACTAAGGCCAACGGTGTGTCTCTCAAGTCATCAATCATATGACAGCCTAAGGCTTGATCGTTACCTACCTTGGCTGGCGTGTTGAAAGCTGGAGGTCCTCACGAGTGATGTTACAAACGCAAAATCAACTGATGAAGGTCAGGCAGGATAAGGCACGGCTCACAATACCATTTCGAGTGCTATTATGCCCGTTGACTACAAATTTTTAAGATGGCCCACTACAGTTTCAAGGAGAACGGGGGGCAGACTGCTAAGAAAAATGAATGGTTTCGAATTGATTGAAGAGGCGGCCTTCCCTACCTCATGAAAGTGGCTTCATTGTCTTTGTACGAGGTCATGGCGTATTCTATCGTGTTTGATCGAGATATCGAAAGGGTGTGGTCACAAAGAAGATAGTCGTAGGAGATCAAGAAGCATACTTAGTTAACGCTCCGTAACTACGAAGCTGAAAGAGCGCGCACATAGATTCATATATTCAACAGGTACGTCACCGGTGGACAGAAGGGACATTCATTCTCACTTTTACTTGCATGAAATTTCAAGTTAGTGCCTTTCAGCATACAACGACCCTTTCTGGCTAATGAAGGAGTAACGGTGAATGAATTCAAGAATGGCTGTTTCGTGAGGTACGCCCATTGTTCCTGTGCGATACTTATGTGTTACTCTTTCATGATGAAAGCTTTTCTAATTAGCATCGATAAATGCCTAACCTATAAAAGGAATAAATCAACCCTCATGGCTCCAAGTCATTTCTCCCATCTACTCGCTAAAGACTATTCCAGAAGGAACCAGACTGGTATCAACTGCCAATCATCATAGCAATATCCATCGCAATGGAGCCCGAAGATAACAACAGTGATATTATCGAGATCCATCAGGGAATATGGAGCGATGACCAAAACTCGAAACAGCTGATTTTTCTTAGCTTCCCTGAAGGAAAGCGAACAGGAAACTCATTCTTAGTCTGGTGCAGAGAGCGCGCAACAGGAGGCGCCAGTTTCCCGGTAACTCCCTGCTCTACTTTCCTCGTTGACTCGACGAATAACATTGAGTTCGTGGCCCCGATCGAAACTGCAATCGGTGCAATGCCTTTGAGCCCAGGTCAGTATCGGTCTCTAGGTCGGCCCACGGACGAATCCCTGGTGACTCGTTACCATGCGAGTAGAGAGGTGTTGATTATGCACGACTTCTGGAACTATAATGAGGTGATTGGGGATGAGGGCGAAGCTGGCTGGTTCGCGTCAGTTAAAGACCGATTCATAGCAAGGGGAGTTCTAGAACCATATGAGGGTTCGGCTGCTCCGGAATCAGGTTCCGAAATCCTAGACGCAGCTCAGTCTAGTGAGTAAACCGTCTGCCATAGATTCAAAACACCAAATTGATTGATTGGATCCTTCTATATGATAAATGCATCGTGTAGTAGCTAATATCGCCCCCCTCACCCGTTCTTGATAGAGATAGCATTTCCTCCGTCCGGAGTAAGTAACTTATCCAGATGCATATACCAGTATTCGCGACCAAGCCTCCGGAAGAAGTCCCCTAGAATCGTGAGGAACAAAAGACACGCGAAGACGGAACTTTTCCTCGCCGAAACACATCTCTTTCATTAAGTGCCTAGTTTTAATCAAGCTCGCCATCATACACGCGGCATTACTGAATATTTCATCTGCTTCCCGGAGGCTCTTCCCAAGCCTACTAGCCCTGATGCCGGCACGGCCAACCAGGCAGAAACACAGCAGAAGAGGAAATATGAGCCGAGGCTGAATTCCCTATCTGCCCAGAAGCAAACGGTCCAGAGAATTAATATGGCCAGCTCTGCTGCTGATGACAAAGCGAGGATGCTATAGCTTGTCAACTCCGAAGTTGAGGGGAGCAGGGGCCAGATTAGGACTGACATGACTAGTCCAAGAGAGAAGCATTCCTTATGGAAATCGATCTTTTCTTGGGCATTCTCGATGCAGGATATGATGTTCAGTGTCGTGCCAGGGTCGTCAAAGATGTAATTTGAGTTGGTTATGGGTGAAGCCATCGTGTCCGAGGTCCTCTAGGCATTTGATTTTGCTCTGTCGAGTGCGAGTAGATTCTATCTCGAACATAAACGAATGTGATATAGTCCGAAAGGCAGTAGGAATGGATGTAAGTGGTAGATATGGTCGACGGCTGCTCCTCTGCTCGATTTTAGAGGCCACCCGGTTGTCCATCGCGTTTTACTTCTGTGGCTGTGGGGAAATTTTTATCTGAGGATGGTAAAATAAGGTTGCGAAAATGATTCTCTTCGTGAGCTTGCTGTCATTTGAAACCTTTCTACCGGCAGACCGGATTTCCCTCGGCTGCCATGCCCAAGGGCCATGATATTACAGCATTGCCTCTCGGTCATTTCTATTAGATTTATTTGTAGTCAAATATTAGGCGAAGGAGATCCTGTGACATCAAAAAAAACGCCATGATTCTTTCAACGGTGGGAGAGAATGGCAAAAGCCAGACCTAGGTTCGGTGTTTGCTGGGAAAGCTGTTAGTGCAGGGTAGCTTGGAAGTACATAAAACCTTCCCTTTTGCACTTCACATTGCGAGAAAAAGACCAATTCTCCAGGTGACTGATCAATAATTTATACTAAGTCGGCTGAACCCTAAGGCTACTGCGTGAGAAATAACTCATTTGTTCGTGATGCTCTTCAGCTTCTGGAGTATAAAATGTGCTGATATTTCTTAATCAAGCTATTGAAGAAGATTAGAGTCTGTAGCATATAAGCAAGGAATCTCCATTTGGGTATTTACGTCGCCTAAATTTGGGGAAAATTGGAGAGAGCTGCATTTTAAAAATAAAACAATTGCTAGAACAAGACCACAGTCCGTTAAAGTGGGACACAAACACCAATTATTCGAATTCCAGAGGCTGAGTGACATGAAAATCTCAGCTAGGACCATACCTAAGTCAGGCATTTTAGTTGTGATTTTGGGAGCAATCCATGGGCGCCAAATTGAGCAAACAGTAGCAACACCACAGGTGGGAGGCGTCGCAATGTTCATTGTCACCATCCAGCCATGCTATGCGTATTGGGCTCACCGTGTATAGACATGGTTAGTCTACCGCAGGCTACACAGCATACAGTATAAAATACGAATCCGAAATCCAAGGCAGGTCGGGCTGACAAGGCCAGGGCGGGAGCTAGGCTGGCGGAGCGGACGAGGGCTGGGCTGGATCCGGTGAGACATCTCGGCCGGAACCTGCCTCTCGCGGTAAAGCAGAAAATCACGGTGGGATTCATATGGGATGCGTGACATGCGCGGGGGGGGGCAATGATGTGATGGCGAAATCTCAAGGAATGATAAGGCGATGCAATCGAGAAGTGGTGACTGGCCGGTGGTCAGATCAGGTTGGGTCAGGCGATTGCCCACATAACAAGCGTCAAAGATAAGATGATGGGCAGAGAGAAAAAGTCTGCGAACCGGTGCCAAAGCTCCGAACAAGCAGGGCCAGGGAGATTCCAGGTATGGCAATCCGGGCAGGCGAGACGAAACATGGGAATCCGCCACTTTGTGTGGTCCCTGGACTCCCTGCAGGCCAGAATGGTCACCTGTATGCACTCAAGGTTGTATGAAGTGCAGTAATCTCCAGCATGTATGTGAAAATCCAGGAAGACCCAGGTGGTGTGGTTGCTGCATGTTACGCTTGTGCATAGCTGCATGCACTTCTCGCTTCACCATCCATGAATGTCTTGGACTGAGCAGGGCAGAACTGGGCAATAGGAGGGCTCGAACCACACACCGGTCGCAACCCTTCCCTCTCGCAGGCGGAACGACGCAGTTGCAGTGCATGGCGGGTCACTGCGACTGATTGGTGCCCTGCCTGCGAGCGAGAGCAGAGAGAAAGGCATTGAGGCAGTGGATGGTGTAGGGTCGGACGCAGTGAGAGGCTGGAGGCGGGGACGGAGGAGAGCAAAAGCAGGGCGACTAGCGACGGTCGATGGAATTAGCGTCTGGATGGATTTGCTGGGGGAGCTGGAGGGGTTGAGGGGAAGAGCTGCGAAACTTGCGGTCAGTCAAGTGAAGGCACAAGTAGACATCAAGTCATGATTCATCGGGGCAGAAGCTCTCGATCGATCGCCAGTCATGTCATGCTGCTCCATTGCACTGCGTCTGGCCGTCTCCCAAGCCGCTACCAGGAGCCAGTCTCTCGTCGCAAATGCAGTGATCTTCGCAAGCTTCATCATCACTGCCTCAGCTATGTCATTCACAGTTCACGGTAACGCGTGGACGAGGCAACTCCCATCCATCCATCTACACCACCATCGCCCATCCCGGCGCGATGCTTCTGGCCATCGACCATCCACCCACCCACCAGCCATGCACGCGTCTATGAATGGACGCCAGGCTAATAAGCTGGATGCACGGCCGCATGCAGCTCTCGGTGGATGCGTTTGAGATCGGCAGCTCGCACCACTCAGGCCAGCCCCCTCCATCACACCACTCCAGCCCGTTAGTGGCCTCTGATGCCCCAGCCCATGTCCCATCGAGCCATCCATGTCTTGCACTGGCCTGGACGACTTCCGACACGATAAGGTCGCACAGCAAAGTTACCGCATTGGACCGTTGCATTCTTTCTCGCATTGTCTGCATGGGCCTGCCTCCGACACCCTCCTCCTGCTCATCACCATCCCGATCTGGACACACTCTGCAGCCTCCAGAACTGCACAGAACCACAACGAGGACTCGGGAGAGGAATCGACGCCTTCGTCTTTGACCGCCTGCTGCGTGTGCGAATGGTGAATGGGGAGGCAGACTTTTGCCCCTTCGCTCGCAGATCGTCTTGGCGAGAGATATTTCTGTGCCTGCTCCCCCATCCCGCCCTCCTGACAACCGTCTGCTCTCTCATTGCCCAATTTTTTTTCTGGACCTGGTCCCAAGAGGTTAAAACTCGTCATGTCAGTTGACAATCACTGTTGAAGGCCCCCGGCGGCTCCGCGCGGCATCCCTGCACTCAACTGCACTGCACCATCGTATCGTGAACAAAAAAAAGAAGAGAGCTTCCAGCCCCTGCGCAGGTGAACTGATATACCTGCTTTGCATGCTGTTTTTCCTCGCTTCCCGCAACGATTAGACCTTTTCCATATACTTGTTCTTTTCGTTATACCCCTTGCTCTAGGATTGGGCCAGTACATTCGGGCTCATCAACCATCTGTACCTCTGCAGCCAGTTCTGCAGCTATCACCACCCCCACCATCGCCACATCTCGAGTACGGGCAACCACCAACAGCTGCGATTGCTTCCAGTTTCCAGCTTGATACCCGTCCACCCATCTATACCATCAACTCTCCTCTTAATTACTTCGTCCATCCACCAACCCGCGCACCATGGACCTCGACAACGACCCAACCATCCCCCTCCTAAGGGCCACCCGCGCCGCCCGCGCCGCCCCCGTCTCCCCGCCCCCCTTCAAGCTCTCGGCGCCGCAAGAGTTCGCCATCTACTTCTTCTGCGTCACCCGCCTCGTCCGCGCCCTCCTCCTCGTCGCCTGGCCCGCCCTCGGCCTCGCCAGCTTCGAGATCCCCGCCACCGGCCCGGCCTTCATGATGGCCAGCCTCCTCGCCTCGCGCGACCTCGTCCTCGGCGCCCTCCTGTGGACCGCCGACCGCGGGTCGCGCCGCGAGACCAGCCGCGCCCTCCTCTTCAACCTCCTCGTCGACTCCATGGACACCTTCATCCTCATCTTCTCCGCCGCCTGCGACTGGCACGAGAAGCGCAGCCCCCTCGCCGAGATCGTCACCGTCGCCGTCCTCGCCATCCTCGAGCACCTCACCCTCTACAGCATGAGCGAGGACGACTGCCCCGACGCTGGGGGGCAACACGGCGGCAACGTCTACGTCGCGTACGGGGGCGCCGCCAACTACGCCTACGGACTGCAGGTCTCCGAGGACAAGCAGCGCAGGGTCGACGCCTGGCTGACGGAGCTGAGGGCCGCGGAGGATCAGATGCCGCCTCAGCAGTACCGCCCCGCGTCGACGATTGTGGCCGAGTCCAATGTGTGAGAGGTGCCGGCTTCAGCTCACATTTTCTCTTTCTTTAATTGTTTCTCTTCCCCCGTCTCATTATCGATTCTAATGATGGGACGGGAATGAGACTCGTGGTTTTGGTTTTGGATGACTGTTACGGTCTGGCGTAATCGGATGATACCTACGGCGCCATGATGATGATATCATGATTTATTTTGGGGAGCTTTTGGGGGTTTTCAGTTTCATTTGTTTACGTTCTATGGGTTTACTAGCAAGGTGTTTGGGTTTTCACAAAAATTTCATTTTTATCTGCCTGGTATTTCTATGTTCCGTCTATAATTGTTCCAGGCTGTGGGTTGCTCAAAAGAAAATCTATTTGTAGCATGCAATAACCATCTCCCAAGATTCGAAGTGCTTTCTTCGTGTGCACACATTTCGCCACGTCCTATCATTGACTCATATGGTTAACCTGGTTCGAGCACCATTCGAAACTGCAGATAACCTGTCGGATTCTAGCCATCGGATCTCTTACGACCTCGCTTCAATGGGTTGAGAATATCTTAGCAAGAATCTCATCCCGCCTCTCCTCCGGATTTGCCGTCGCGTCAACGGTGATCGAATTCACCCCATCACTCTCCCCAGGCCGCGCCGGGCTGTCCACCCAGCGCATGAACCTGGCCCTCGCGTCGCTGTACTCGGCGGCCGTGGCATCGACGGGGGCGCGGTCCACGCCCGTCCGCTGGCTCCGCATCGGCGTCCTCGCGCGCAGCCTCCCGTCCAGCAGCTCGATGTCGGTGACCCTGCACTCGACGTACCAGTACTCGCACCCGTGCCGCCCCGCGAGCTCGATCCCCCGG